GAGTGCTGAGATTACAGGCGTGTGCTGGATTACATGTGGAGAAGTATAATCCTTTAATTATCCTTGCTAAAAGGTTTGGTATCAGCTAAAATGTTTGTACTGGCTATGCCCTTGGTTCTCGCTCAATAAAAGGTAACTGAGATTAGTAATCTGGGCTGCAATCTGAGAGGCTGTAAGCCGCCGATCCCAGACTTTTGTCTCTTGTTTTCTTGTTTCTCTTACTTTTCTTTTCATCCACGGGCACCTCGTTCTCAGGACTTATCACCCCTGGACAGAAACAGAAGGTCTGACACAAGTCCACAATAAGTCCTCCACACAAGCTCGCTCAAAGGACTGCTACATAAGCAAACAGATTGTGTATGCGTCTCTGGCCTCTTCTGGTTCTGACAGAAAAACCTTGCTTCTTACAAAGAAGTGATGAACACAGAGAATGAATACACACAAGGAGGGCAAGTCCCGGGGAATGGCATGACCCTGTGATACAGCAGCTGACTTCTAAAGCTATAAAGCCTGTTTGACCCTACTGGGCTTATGGCACCATGCCAATGAACGAGGGTGTTACGGTTTATGTCTAGAATGTCCCCCAGTGCCTCATGTGTTCCAAGAGGCACTTTGGGAAGGTGACTGGATCATTGGGGTGCTATACTCATGGGTGGATTAGCCCCCGATGAGTTTTTGTGCTGTTAGAAGGTAGAGTCTGGTTGAAAGAGGTGGGTCACTGGGGGTGTGACCTGGCAGTGGGTATCTCCTTCCCCTCTTTCTGCTTCCTGGTTGCCACAGGATGAGCAACTTTCCTCTCCCATGCTTTTCCACCATGCTGTTTCTGCCTTGGTGCCTGCTGACCATGGCCTCAGCTTCTTTAAGCTGTGGGAGTTGGGTACTGGCCCCAGCAATGGGAAAGTGGCCAAGACAGAGGAGGTGTCAACTGATGCCTGCACTCATCTTCTGACTGGGGTGGGTCCAGTCCGAGAGTACTGAGACCGGGTGTCTGTGTGGGAAGGGAGCTGGCGGACCTTTGCCTGAGATGCTCAAGGCCCAGACTGTGCATCTGGGATGTGCAACACTGGACTATTTGGGAGGAAGGAACGTGAAAGTGGCAATCCAACTGCAGAATGAATAACAGTTCTTGAAGGTCCCCATAATCTGTAAAGGCCGCCTTTTATGGGAAAGGATCATTCTACATGAGAGTAAGTGAAGGATCCTAAACTGTGAGATGATTCTGGATAATCTGACAACCCTAAAAACAAACTGCCAAAACAAGTGTTCTTCTAGGAAAGAGGCACAGAGAGATCTGTCAAGAGGAGGAGGCAGTGTGGCCATGGGGCAGAGACTGACTTAAGCTGTGCCTCTAGCCTGGCATGCCTGTACCCGCTTCTCTCTGTATGGGGTGGGGGGCACATGCTATTCTAAAGTATTGACTCAGGATCTCAGGATAATCTTCAGATTTTTTTCCAAGAAAAGTAAAGAACCTTTCTGACATGAATTCTGCCAATGTTATAGTTTGGTAACTAATTTTGTTTTGGGCAATTAAAAAATGTTAAACCATGTTATCAAACCAAAAAATGCCTATCTGCGTGGTGTTCCCAGAGTGCCAGGCTACTGTAGTCTCCCTTCGGTGGCAGATCTACCGGTGTTATCCGGTCCCTGACTGGCCGCCAGTCCCTAATTCACCAGCCCCTTCGAGAGAGAGAACACACCCACGTGAGCTGTGGAACCACAGGGCCTGGGAACCGAACTCTCCACAAGCAGTTATTCACCAAGGGCTGTGTGAGGAAGGGAGGAGGAAGGGCGGCAGGCGAGGGAGAGGGAAGCAGTAACTCTCGGGGGTCGGGGGAAGTCAACAGAAGCCCAGCAACTCCACCCACAAATCCGCACAGGAGCACCCAAGAGTCCTTCCAGCTGAGTTCTCACGGAACAGCAAGTTTTGAGGCGCATTTGCGTAGTCTGCGGAGGATCAACTACTGTGCAGTCCTGGGCTTCTGTGGAAGGAGCAGCAAAGACATAACCTGGGCCTGGTTGTCAGCTAACTGTTAAGGAAGGAGGAAGGCCTTTGGTCTCAACTCCTGCAGGACCCTGCGGGACAGCGACAGATCTGATATCTTTAGGCTGCTGGGAATGACAGTAGCAGACCCTGAACTAAAACAATTCCTGCTCAAACACAGGCATGAACAGATCTCTCTGGGCCTCAGTTGCCCTACATGTGAAGGATTCCACACACTACTTGGATCTTTCTGGGAACACTGTTACATATTTTGCTGTATTCTTGTATCAAGAGCAGTCATTTCACTTTTTTGTAAAACTGATTTGATTTTCAAAACCTTAAATGAATTCATTACAAAAGAAAACCACCATAAAAGGAAAAGCTCCCAAAGCCGGCTGCCCACTCCTCCCCAGTCCAGCCAGTCATCCTTTTTCCTAAGCGACCGGCCTGCACAACAAGGCCGGTTCAGACCTCGGCCGGGGCTGGCAGCTGGCACACCCCGCCCTGCAGCCCTCCGCGAAGTCAGAGAGACGCCTTTCATGGCTTCAGAGGTTCCACCCGGTTCTCCAGCCACAGGGGGCTGGAGTGGGTAACCGAATCCTACTCTGGGAGGAAAAAAGCACAGTGACCTTTTGTCCCAGCAGAAGTTCCCGGCTCCCCGGCAGCCGGCGGAGGCGGCCCAGCCAGGAGCGTGAGGGACCGCGGACGTGCGCGGGCCCCGCGCGGCGCCAGCT